GTTTTCAAGAGTTTCAAATGGTTCATTCACTTTTGAAAAAACCGAAAAAATATCGTTGCGATTTGCGTCGTATAATTTACGAAAAAGCCTTGCGATAAAAGGCGAATTTCATATTAATAATCAGCAACTCTGTTTAGCCTAAAGAATAGACATTTTGGCTCGTTGATTATCTGTTCTGGGACAGTATGTGGCCAACAATGGCCCGAAACTGTCTTCAAAGTACCTACCGTAATCCCACAGCAATGGAGAGAGCTGGGTGTTTAACTCCAAAATGCAAATCTAAGCTGAAGCCTCTTCTAATGAATGGTGCTTGAAGCTAAGAAAAAGATCTAATGGGAAGAGAGTTATTGACTATCAAAAAGTAAGTACTTATTTTTGAAACACCCTGTTTATGTATCAGGATCGTTGAGAGAATGAGAAGGTCAATTTAAGTGTCTAGGTCGGGACATCATAATCGATCACCAGCTATTTACAATTTTGTTTTTGCTATCATGTCATTTTCTCAGAAATTCGAAACGTAAATCTACTGTCTTATGCAATTTTCATTGACTTTTCATTTGACCTTTTCTTGTATTGGCTACTTTTATACAAGAACATCTTTTAGACAACGGCTTATTCGCCTGCATCTTACACCAGCAACAGAAGGAGTATCACAGTTTCTACGAACATCCTGTGAGGGATCTTTCTGCCTTGCAGATCTCGTACCGCAGTTGGCTGAGACTTATCCTAACCATACTCTGGAACTCTCATTGGCAGCAACAAGAGCGCCTGCCATTCTGTTCTCGGAGAAGAAAGGAGGTGATTGTACACTGCATAATCTCGAAACCTACCGTAATCGGAAAATAGCTAAAATAATATCCGTTTTATTTGCCTGAAATACTTTTTGGTCTAGGGCACAAAAATTTCCCTATAACGCAGATATTTACTATTTTGCTACAATCTAGACATTATGCAGTGAATGTATGCTTGAATAACAAAACACCCATTAGGCGTCATCTCTGTCAACCTCGGCGGAGTAATTGTTGTTTTTGTCTCGGACGGATTTCGACGTAAACAAGCGGCAGTTCTCGACATGGACGTCGTTGCAGACGCTAAACTGAACCTACAAGTTAGTCCAAAGCACACAATCTAACAATATTTTGGTTTGATGAAGAATCTATGGTTAAAGCACCTGCGCTTTAGAATCATAATGTTAGCGGAAGTGTCGAACTGACTAAGTTTGAACTGACGAGTCGCACAGCTGCGGTGAAGATTTCTCAAGAAGA